CTTTATTTCATTTTTTTTGAATTATTTCGTGATAAAATAATAAATTGAAAAAGTTTGATTATTAACTAAATACATATTTCCCATTCGTTTGTTTGATGTTGTTTTTGTTTTTGTTTAAAATATACATGCTTTATGTGATTTAAATTTTTGTTATAATACTACAAATACCACAAATTATTTTTCAAATGTGGCTTTTATTGTTGTGTATATTTTATAGGTTTTTATGTTGTTTATATTGTATATCTTGTAAGTATTGTACATCTAGTGTACCTTGTATATTCTATATATAAGTTGTGTATATGTTAAATACAATACAATACAATTTTATTAGAACCCCTCACAGATATATGTTAAATATATAATAACGTATATATTGTAGATGAGGTGAATGTTGTCTAGTTTTCATGTGTTTTAAGCTGTACACGCTATGTATTGTATTTCAGGTATAGATTGTATGTGTGTATTGTTTCGCATCGTATAATCATTTTGATCACTCATGTAAACTTTTCAATACTTGTTCGGCGTCTTTGAGGATGATTGATTTCGAGATAGTTTCTATACAGGCATCCATCCTACCAGTAAAACCTGATCAACTCAGCAGCCAGATTTGTTGTGTTGTGTTTTGTTATGTTTTGTCGTTGTTTGTTTGTTTGTTTGATTAAGTATTGTTTTTAGTAGTATTATTTTAGGTGTTTGTGGTGGTTTTGTTGTGATTTTGTGGTTTATGGTGTGGTTTAGTTGCGGTTTTTCTAGTATTTCTTTGGTGTTGGTGGTGTTTATTATCGTTTTTGTTGTTGTTATTGTAATGTTGTGGTGTTGTTATTATGGCTTAGTCGCTTTGTTGTTGTTGTACGCTATTATTTATATTGCAATGTGGCATTTTTCTAGGCAGGGTATGTCTTTTATAAATCATTGCGATATTTTCCAGGCTGTGTGATGTATGCATGCATGGTTCAATTGTCCGTTGGTCTTCAAAGCGTTGATTAACTTTCTTGCCTTACTTTACGACTTTCTACGTCCGACCAATCAACGTTGAAAGGTTTCATTGTTTTGAGATTGGCAACAAAAGTAGGATTAATGCTTGTTTTGTCTCAATCGAATGTGCTTTTAACAAAAGTGATTTTTATTAATTATATAAATTATTTACCCAGTAACGTTTAAAAGTCATTCTTAAGAAACTTTTAGAAAATTACCATAGGTTTATTTCCAGTTTCAAATTGCAACTTGATAAAAGGAAACTTATTAAAAAAAACAAAAACAACTGAAATTTTGTTAGCAATGATACTTTACAATTAATAACTGTTACTACTGTATAATATGTATAGATACAAACAAAGGCGAAATTTAAGTACTGCTTAGATCAGCGAAAGATTAGGAGCGGTTACTCTTAAAGTTTCGCCCGCCACTCAAGAGAGGAAGTTATCTCGAAGAACCAACAAATTAAATTGTCTGCAACGCAAACATGAATTTGAGTGCCGGAGTGGGATAAAAAATCTCAGACTCCAACCAACTCCAACCAACTCCGACACTCTGAAGGACAACACACGCCACAACATTCAACTTAAATTTCATAGATCAAATATATTTAAAATATGCATTACCTCAGTGTCCTAGCACTGTTCACAATTAATGAGTTTGTTTTATAATTTAATGTAATGCGTATAATTATAAGAACATTATAAATAAATGTTCATCTTAACATACAAATGCTTATCTAAAATTTCGATAGAGCCAGATGAGTACAGATTCATTCACATTTCAATTTTTCCTATGATGTATGATTTATTCAGCTGTCAGATCAGAAGAATGTGTATGACGTATGTATGACGTAGCTGCTTCAGGTTTTTCCAATGACGAAATCCATCATAGAAAACACAAAACTTCAGGAAGGAAATATTTCACGTCGTCGCATGTAATTTATTTCCACGTCAAATAAAACTTACGTCATTTTTTAATTGTAGTTGTGCCGGGTACCTACCGTATAGGCTCATGTCACATTTTTTTATGTTGTAATTAGAAACATGTTACTTGTCTTCAATGTTTTGTTGTTCAATTCTAGTTTATTGATTTTTATCACAGTTATCAAGATAAATAGTTCATCAATTACAAATTAAATGCCTAAAATAATCTCAAGATAATGAAAATCAAATTATTATCTCAAGATAACGAAAACCATTGGAATGAAATGAACGCAGTAACAATATTAGGCAAATCCAATTAATTTCTATCTATTGATTTCTAAACGACGGTGTTTGATACATTTAGTGAAGTGTTCACAGAGCCGTGCTTTAAAACCTCAATTAATTTCATCTAACACAAACAACAAACATCCAAAAGTAATGTATCAAGGTTTATCGTACGATATCAAAAGCTGCAGACATTCATTTTGTGCTTCTTACGTACACAAAGTTTTAATTTCAAACGTTTTTCAAGTGCATATTTACTCCAAAGACACACTCACACGTATATCTATAGTATTAAGTAAGTATTGAGTTGCTTCTACGTGAATACCACCACGCCAATATTTGTGGTTGTCAAGTGTGGCTTAGCTTAAGTGCAGTTGAATGACACAGAAGATATTGACTTTAATGTTTTAATTTGAATAAAAAATTTTTAATTAATTCAATTGTTATGTATTTTGTTAAAATTAAACAACATTAATATCAGAAAAAAAGTTCACTTCACTTCTGTAGAATTGGTCTTTTGGCACATAGCACATTGTAGAAATAACATCTTTTATATATAGCAACAATTTTCACTCTAATCATTATTTTGAAGAAACAAAACACTAAATGTGACATTAATTAAAAATAATATTGACTGCAAATAATAAAAAGCATTTAATTCAGGCATTCAATTTGAAATTAATTTATTTGTAAATAAACGCTGCTAGCCTAGGGTTAGGCACATCTCATTGCCAACTGTTATCTATATTAAATGATTTTGCAGTTGAGATTTCAATTACCCCGCTGTCACTCCTTCTTAAAAAGTCGAAAATTTTACGTTTTAACGATAATTTGTTATAATTTTTAAGATCGTTGGTCGGGAGTGACGCTTAATGTGGAAACAATCCGTTAGAAACAAAATGGGAGTGAATGAGAGAAAGTCGTGAATGGGGGGGAGGTCGTTGGGGAGGAGTGTCACTGTATTTGAAAAGTTCGTGTAAGCGGCCCAAAACTTTGAAATAATTATTTTACATGTTTACAATTTCTAAATCAAGATGATAATTTAGGTTTCATGGTGAATATTTTTCGACGCATGATATGTTACACCTCAAATCTTCATTCAACCTACCTACAACTGGCAATTAATTTTCCTTATAAGTATTTCTTATCAGCAAGCAATTCGTGAACTGAAAAGCGACAAAAGAGAACAATAAAACCACCATTATCACAGATCGTTCTGTTATCATCATAACATTGGATGTAACGCTATTTGTCCGCATAAAACTCAACGACAGAGTAGCAGTATGATTTGAAGATGTTTTTTCTTTGTTTTTAAAATTGAAAAAGTTAAAATATTTTAAAAATTCATTAAACATCGCATGTGAAGGGTTCTTTTTCTAATGTGAATTAGAGGACATATTGTGGTTATGTTGTTGCTGATGTGGTTCCAAAACAAAATGAGGTAAAAATAAACAGCAATCCATTACTTTCTGCGTGCTTCTGAAAATTTTTTTTTTCTAAACAAAATTTTTAGTCAACTTCTGGAAATGTATTTTTCTTTCATTCATAAATGATCATTTTTGAAAGGAAGGTAAACATACAGACACATGCAAACACACACACACACTTAAATTTACACACATACACACGCACACATACACACACACACATATATACACACACATCAAATGTATGCAGGTAAGTTTTACCAAGTTCGAGTAGAGTCGTTTATGTAAATGAACTTATATGTGGCGTATATAAGTGTATGTGTTTGTATGTGTATGTATGAATGTGTGTGGATGTGTGTGTGCATTTGTGTGTGTGTGTGTTAGTGTGTGTAAGTTTTGTGAATGTGTGAATGAAAAATAAATTGAATTTTGCATAGAATGTTGTGTGATGAATGACTGATTAATAGAGCGATTGGCCCAGTGGTGCATCAATTTATTATCTCTCGCGTCCTCTGAGTTATGAGTGATATTAAGGATGTGATGGGCGTTCATGCAAGTTCAGCTAACATGTTTTATTTATTGGCTGGCTGGATGGTTGGCTGGTTGGTTGGTTGGTTGGTTAGTTGGTTGGCTGGCTGGCTCCCTGTCTGGTTGGTTGGCTGGCTGGCTGGCTGGCTGGCTGGCTGGCTGACTGGCTGGCTCGCTGGCTGGCTGGCTGGCTGGCTGGCTGGCTGGCTGGCTGGCTGGCTGGCTGGCTGGCTGGTTGGTTGGTTGGTTGGTTGGTTGGTTGGTTGGTTGGTTGGTTGGTTGGTTGGTTGGTTGGTTGGTTGGTTGGTTGGTTGGTTGGTTGGTTGGTTGGTTGGTTGGTTGGTTGGTTGGTTGGTTGGTTGGCTGGCTGGCTGGCTGGTTGATTGGTGGGTTGGTTGGTTGGTTGGTTATTGTTATATTAGTTATTTATTTATTTTTATTTTACGTTATCCTTATGATGATGATAATCTTGTCCAGGGTGGTCCACTACAAGAATTTATTTTCTTCTTTCTGGTCTCCCGACCACAAATTTTTTCTGTTCTGTTTGGATTAAATAAATATGTTGAATTGTATTATATATTTAATTTCAGATGTTCTGTAATGATACTTGTTGTTTTAATGTTCTCTTCACTGATGTTATTGTTTGTTGTGGTTTTATGTTTGTTATCAAACCTTCCAGTTTCAATTTTTCAAATTGTATTAATGAACAATTTCAAATCACGCTTCAGCCCTTACAATTTTACTACAATTGTAAATACAACGTTATCGTTACTTTTGGACTTTATTACCGCTATCATTATTATCATCATCACCATCATCATCATCACCATCATCATAATCTTCACCATAATCACTGACAGTAATCCTGATGTGTGCCTCCAACAAGGTCATCAGGAATATCATGCTGGTGGCAGACGAGATGGGCTTCAACAATGGCGAGTACATCTTCATCAACATTGATCTATTCAGCAAGTGAGTGAGCGAGTGAGTGAGTGAGTGAGCGAGCGAGTGAGTGAGCGAGCGAGTGAGTGAGCGAGCGAGTGAGTGAGCGAGCGAGTAAGTGAGCGAGTGAGATTCTGCTTAAGATTCTGACTTTGTTGTAGAATAATGATAAAAAAATTATTACTGCTATTAAAAAATAAGCATAATTAGCTACGATAAGATATTTATAGACAACAACTCAGGCCTGGTGTGCAAATCAATCTGTCACAAACAAAAATAGAATTTATGGTTTATGAGGTGGGAGTTTGTCGGCAATGGCATGGCATTATTATTTTCCCATTTTTGACAAAATATTAATTAATAATTATTATTTAATAAATTGATTTAGAGCAGTGATTTATTAAAACGTGTTCTTTACGTGCATCGGTCAATTTTGTCTTCAGCATATCAGTGTTGTTATTTTTGGCAATGTGATTCATTTTACGGTTGAAAATAATGAAGTTGTTGCAAGTTTTTAAAGTTTTAACAATATTATCACCATCATATTTTCTCACATTCAAAACGCTCATCATCATTTTGGCAATCATCATCACTATTACAGACTCCATTGTCAACATAATCATCATCGCTATCGTCATCAATATCACCATCATTATCACCATCTCCATCATCATCATCACGATGACAAATGCCATTGTCCTATGAAAGCGTGTCAAAGCTCCCGGCACTAAGTCTATAATTTTTTTTATGAAAATCTTCTGACTTTATTTTCTGTAAAATTTTTCACAATTCGATTGTCCACTTGAAAAATAATTCCATAACCCCTGATTTTATTAATATTCATATTAATATTGTTATCCTGTGTGTGTGTCACAGAAAAAAGAGAGAGAGAGAGAGAAGGAGATAGAGAGATAGAGAGAGAGAGAGAAAGAGAGAAAGAAAGAGAAAGAAAGAGAGTGAGATATTATGTGTGGTTGTGTTGTCGTGAAATTAATTGGTTGATTGAGTTGAATTTTTTACGTCAATTCGTTCGAGAGTTGTTGTTGTAACTTTTTAATGTAGGTGGGTAGTTTCTGTTATTGTCATCTGCGTTATTGTTAATGTTGTTGATGTTATTAATAGTTTTGTTGCTTTAATTATGTCGTTTTTGTTAATGTTGTTGATGTTATTAATGGTTTTGTTGCTTTAATTTTGTCGTTTTTTCATTTGGTTCTTGTAACTATGCTGTTGTTTTTGTTGTAGTTTTTGTTTTGTTTTGTTGTAGTTTTTGTTTTGTTTTTGAGGTGGTGCAATGAGTAAAAGATAATTGGCGGCTTTGTTTATAAGCTTGTCTCCGAAATAGGTGAGTGAGGTGTATCAAGTTTTGTAGTTTGGTCGTGAGTTGTGTGATGATTGGTAGCTGGGTAGTGCTGTTGTTGTGGCTGTTTTTTGTTTGTTGCGTTTGATGGGTTGTTGCGTTGATGTTTGTTGTTGTTAATGTAGTGTTGTGTTGCTGTTTTTAGATTGTGATGTTGTTTTTCTGTGTTGTGTGGTTTGGCTGTGTTGTTGGGTTTTATAGCTGTTTAGTTGCTTTTTAGAAAAGTTGTTTTTAATTTGTTGTTGTTGCATGATATAATCATAATTTAGTGTTTTTATTTTTTTTCAGTTTAGTTGTTGCTATTAAATAATGTCGTTGCTTATGTTGATTGTTGTCGTTGGTGGTGGTGTTGCAGTTGTTGAAAAAATGTCATACTGTTGCTAAATCTAATTGCGGAAACATGAAAAATTTTGTTGTCATGTTGTTGATGTTTTTGTTGAATTAGGTTGTGGATGTTGGCTGGAAGGCTAAAAGATGGCGATGATAGAATCGATAGAATGTATTGATGTTTTGTTAGTCGGGCAACTCTAATATCAAGTTGCTTTTAAGCAACCATTTGTAACCATTACATATTCCGTATCGTACACTTAACAATTTTTACAACTATATAGAAAGTTTCGAAGTGTTGTAAATATATACACGAATATCTACATCAGAAATGTAACCAAATGTAAGGAAGGAAGCGAAACGAAATTTTATTTAGCAAATAATATTGAAAATTTAATGTTACAGAGCTTACAAAAGTAAAATATAAAAAAAACGTATAGAGTTTGACCTATCATTACAGTACAATACAACCCTTCTATGCAACGCAGATGCAAAAGACCTCTACAAAACCCGATCTTTGACACTTTGTAGTAGTTGAAATGTGATGATATTCACCAAGTGAAACAAGGACTTCACGAATGTTGTTCGTTGTTGACCGCGACCCTGCAATCTTTCCAGTAGTTGTTAGCTTTTCCATTCCTTCCTTCCGCATGATGTGACCAAAAAACTTTAACTGCCCCGGTCGGATTATCTGTAGTAATTTCCTCTTTGACGTAACGTAACGCTTACTTTATGGCTTTTTTAAATAACAGTTGAAAAAATGAATTAAATAAATAATATAAATATATGCCTTGTTTATTACTTACTGTATTGCAGCATTCAGATACACAGTAACATTATTTGATAAAATAATTAAATAAAATTAGAAATGAACGTTTCAGTTTTATTTGGCCTAAAATATTTTCAATCAAAATTAAAAAGTTAAATTTTTAATCTAATAAATATTCGAATAGTCTTGAGACTTTGAATGCAGTCTGTTTTTCCATTTCTACAAAATTTTTCAGGATATTTTGAAAGTACAAAAAAATTTAAAGCTAAAGATCTCAATTCCCTAGTGAAAGCAACAAAATGCAAAATAGCCATGAATGATATTCAATAAAAATTTTATTAAATTTAAAACAACGAAAATATTCATTTTATTTTTTTTGTCTGAATGGCTCCAGACATTTTTATATGCAATATTTCAATCATACTCTCAATTTAATCAATGCAATTTTATTTTTTTAATCAAATTTATAGAGAATTTTTTTTTATTTATTCGATAAATATATTTGTTTATTTTATCTTTTGTGCGTTTGCATGTGAACTTGTTTGTATGCATGTTGGTTCACTCTTCCGTAGAGTTCGTTCTGTTATTCAGATATCTGGTTTACTTGTTTGTGTTTATCCTCTGCATTAGTTATCCTTTTTTATTATTACTCTCATTAAATCATACCTCTGTTCATTCATTTTATACAAACATTTCAAAATTCATTTATTCATTCACACATTCCCAAATTCATTCATTTATCCATTTATTCATACATCTGTTATTTCATCCATCTAACCATTTATTCGTCCGTACATCCGTCGACTCATCCATCCATCCAACTACCCGGCACGCATTCACCTGACAACCAGCAAACAGACGTTGGAGAGGCCCTGGTTCCAACTTGACGAGGCAAAGGAGAAAAACGATCGAGCGAGGAAGGCCTTCGAATCCATGCTGACAGTGACGGCCACCAAGAAGGACAGCCAGGAGTACAGGCAGTTCTCGGAGGAGGTGCGAAAGAGGAGTGTCCAGATGTATCAGAAGGATGTCTACGGGGACGAGGTTGGTAGGTCGGTCGGTCGGTCAACTGATTGAATTGAACTTGAATTTTCATTTAATCAGATTGTTGAAATATTCGTCTGCTTGTAAGATTTATCAGCTTCACTAAATATTATTATGCTGCTAAAATGTTCTTCAATCAATGGCGGATCTATGGGGCCGGGGCGATGTTATTTGTGTTAAAAGTTATTGCGTTAAAAGTTATTAAAAGTCGTTGTCTTTACTGACTAAGTAGTGTTTTTGAAGGAAAAATGGGCATTAGTAGAAAAGTAGGTCCCCCCCGTCAAAATGTTCCCTCCCTAATTTTCACACGTTAAATGATGCGGAAATATGAACGAAAAAAATTTCTTGAAACGGCGACAATAAAATTTACTTTCTTGAAATAATTTCGGACGCCTCATATTGAACAAATAAAATCAAATCAAGCGAAACAAACGATAAGACGCTTCGTTGGAACTGCGCTGTTACCCTCCGTTCTATTTTGTTGATTGATGCTTCGCTCATTCATTTGTCATTCTCTTATCACTAAATTATTCAATCAACCGTGCAACAAAAGTCAACAAACAAAAACTTTCTCACCTAAAAATCGTCATCGTCGTCATCCAGGAAACATCATCACTATGAAAATCATCATCATCATATTGCAATCACCATCATTATCTTTATTTAAGAATCATCATCACAGCCATATTACAATGATCATAATCTTCATCGTCTAAGGATCATCACCGTCATCGTCAACGTAGCATAAGATTTAAAATTGTTTTCATTTCGTGGCATCCTGACATGGGAGATTGAAAATAAAGTTCAAAAGTTTGACAATTTCAAGTTTTTAAAAAATTTTAAATAATATTAAATATTTCTTGAATGAAAAAATCTCTTCAATTTTACTCAATGAAAAAATCTCTTCAATTTTACTCAATATGACATCAAATAATTAAAGTTCAAAAATTCGGTAAATTTTGAAATAAAATATTTTTTTCAAAAATATGTTTGAAAACTTGTCTGAGAAAATCTATCAAAAAAGTTTTTATGGAGAGTTACGTCAACATTGACTGAAATGAACACTCAACTTTTTGCTCTCAAAAATTTAAAACCAAATGACGTTGATTGACATTAAATTTCAAGTTTTTTCAATCAAAATTTTTCTTTATTTTTGATAAAAATTATGAAAATTACCCTAAAAAATAAACCAAAAAATTAATTATTCAACAGTCGTTATAATGTTTGCCAAGTGCTAGAACTAAAAACTTATTTCCAACTTCAAATGAAACCCCAAAAAGATAATGTTGCTTCTAAATATTTGAGGGAACGATAAATGGCTTCATGTCACAACTAACATTGCTAAAACTACAAACAAAGACATGAGATAAAACAAATAACTAACAAAATTAAATAACAAAATTGGAAAAAACAAAATAAAAATCAAACAACAAAGAAATCAAAAGTAGAAAATGCGCAAACAAACATCCTTTAGAACGTCTGACGTCACTTAATTCGCGCCATTTCATAATCTCAAACCCAGCAGATTTTCCCTCCCATTCATCGCAGTCAATTTCTTACCTTTATTACTTTTATTTTTGACGTTAAGGTCAATTTTATTTGTGTAATATCATCGCGATATATCACTTTATTCGTGTTATATCATCAGATACATCATTTTATCAGTGTTATATCATTACAATATATCATTTTATTAGTGTTATATCATCATGTTATTTTCTGCAATGTCATGGTCATTTGTATAATAACTATTATACTTATCATCATCATCATAGTTTATATCATATTCCTTAGTTTATTTAACAAAAATGATACAACCTATATCTATCGCTATCTATCTAATCATCATTCTACTATTATGTCCATCAAAATGATGATGATATTATCATTATCATTAACAATCGTTAGCTATCATTAATAACCATCATCGTCATACGGTCATCATCATTATCGTCATCGTACTGCCATCATCATACTCGGTAATCATCTCATCATTATCGTGTGATCATTATCACCTTCATTCTCATTGTTTATAAAACTGACCATTTACAATAACTGGACTGCAGTTATAAAAATTAATTAATTAATTAACTGATCAAAAAACCAGCAACTGATTCGTTATAATTTATGAAATCGTCATCACTATTCTTACCATTCTCACAGTAGCGAAATCATTAGAACACAATCGTCAACATATTATCATCATTACAAACTCTATAACCATCATTATGTTATCAATCTGAAATCATCATCATCTAATCATAAGATTTACTCACACATCATAATTGTAACCGTTGTTACAATGCCATATTACCATGCTGTTGCTATCACAAACATTATCACCTCATCATTTCTTCATCATCATCCTCATTTCATTATCATCCTCATCATTATCGTCATCATCATCATCATCATTTCCTCATCATCATCCTCATCATCATCATCATCCTCCTCATCATCATCATTTCTTCACCATCTTCATCGTCACCACTCAGGTGAATGATTACGTGGGTTCCTTCCATGACGCCCTGCTCCTCTACTCCCTGGCCGTCAACGAGACCATCCAGGCAGGCCTTAGTCCCAGGGACGGGCAGGAGATCACGAAACGAATGTGGAATAAGACTTTTAAGGGTATTCCCTGCCTGTTTGTTTGTTTATTTGTTTGTTTGTTCGTTTGTTTTTTTGTTTTTTTGTTTGTTCATCTGTTTGTTTGTTTATTTGTTTGTTTGTTCGTTTGTTTTTTTGTTTTTTTGTTTGTTCATTTGTTTGTTCATTTGTTTGTTTGTTTGTTTGTTTTGTTCGTTTATTTGTTTGTTCGTTTGTTCGTTTGTATGTTGTTTGTTGTTTGGTTCATTTGTTTGTTCGTTTGTTTGTTTGTTTGTTACTACTACTGCACTACTACTACTACTGCTGCTGCTGCTACTACTATTATTACTACTACTACTATTATTACTACTACTACTATTATTACTACTACTACTATTATTACTACTACTACTACTACTACTACTTCTACTACTACTTCTACTACTACTACTACTACTACTACTACTACTACTACTACTACTACTACTACTACTACTACTGATACTACTCTACTACTAATACTACTATTACTGCTGATTCTACTGCATCTCTTATTTCTACCTGTACCTTGAATACTTGAATGCTGCAATTATACATTAGCTGAAAAAAGGAAACGAGTAGTTTCGTTTTGAAGTTTTGAAAAAAATTACATTAGACGTTTCAGTTAGTTGGTATTTATGATTGCGTGTATAAGATTGAATGTTAACCTTTTGACTGGGTGAAATTTAAGAGCATTATGTAAAATTTAAGAATATTTACTTCCCATGCCAATCTTCTCAGAAAAAAATTAATTTAACACTGCCTGATGCATGTATTTTAAGTACAACAACAACAACCAACTATAGTATCATAACAACAGCAACAATCAACAACAACAACATCATTACAACAACAACAACAACATAACCAGTGACAACACGACTACGAATCAACTTCATAAAGCATGGACAGCAAAAAGACGATACCCACAATAAAATGACACCTATTACACTATTCAGGGATTACAGGTTTGGTGAGCATTGATCAGAATGGAGATAGAGAAGAAGATTACTCCATTCTGAACATGAATCCAGAAGACGGCGTGTTTAGAGTAAGTTTGATCATAAAATTACTTATAAACATTAGCAAGTTTTAACATTTAAACAAATTTACATATGTTTATGTTTATAAACTAAACAATCACCGAAACACATACATTTACACATACATTGTTGTTTGATTGCTTTTTGTTGTCTTTTAGTGCTATTTTGATAAAGGCATATATAACTTACGTTTAAGCCCATTAATTATTTATATTTTTATTTATTTATTTTATTCATACAAATATTTAGAATTTATTTTCAAAAACACTTTTAAAAATTGCATCAAAAAATAATTTAAACTCAAAAACAGTCGTACAACAAATTTATACGTACGTATAAATTCTAAAAAAAGGTATTATCCGGTTTCGAACTTGTCGTCATAAATCGATGCGTAAATTTTTAATGTGAATTTAAAGTTCAACTCCGTCTTCGTTAATTTGAACGCATGATTCGATGCACCATTCAATGTCAATATTTTTGATTCATCTCTATTGAATTTTTTGCAAACACATGTCTAAACACGGTTGTTCCTGGTGTGCTATCAGCTTTCATGAAAATAATGTTTCTATACTAATGTTTTTTCACTTTTAACAAGTCTGGGTTATTTTTTAAGTTTATTTTTTTATTTTTCCTATGTTTAACGGAAGATTTTTTGAAGAATTCTTAAATCACCTTTCTAAAAGTGTATAATTTCGGGAATTTTCAGTAAACTCAGTAGTTTAAAAATTAAGTTTATTCAATTTTTGACCTTATTTACGGTTTATATGTTCACATAAATTGTATAAGTGAATAAATTGAAAATTTAAAATAATTTTTTTTTAATTTAAAAAATACTTTGAAGTTAAATTCTTCAAACTGATACTTTTTAAAACGCACAGTTGATTTTTAAAATTTATTTTAAAATCAAGTTGAAAACAAGTGCGAATCAATTTTGATAGAGCTAAAACAACAAAACCTTTTCAGAAATTGCTATAACATTTTTAGGATTTCATGTTTAGGAGTACCTATATGAGATTATCAATTTACTTATTTGTATGTTTATAATTTATGTATGTGGGTATGCATGGTAAAACCAAAACATAATGAGTGACACTGAACCGTCAAACATCAAGTAAATATGTGGGTATGTATGTGTGTATGTATGTATGTGTGGGTATGTATGTATGTGTGTGTGTATGTTTGTATGTATATGTGTGTGCATGTATGTGCATTATGTGTATGTATGTGTATATGTATGTATTTAATTTATTTATAGGTATAAGTCATCAATAACATGTGTTATCACATTTTGTTGAACGTAATAAATCTAACTACCTGGGCTAATGCCGACGCAAGCCAAAATATGATACATCGATGTTCCGGTTTTCAAAACACTGCACCGTTATAATAGTAATTCACGACGAGACAGCAAATTTACAGACATAAAGCAGCTTAATATAAAATAATAAAATGTATAATCAATCAGAGCATATAATACTTTGTATAAGATTGAGGTCAGAATTTATCTGAAGGAAAGAATGGAAAATGTAACTACTGGAAAGATTGCAGGGTCGCGGTCAACAACAAATAACATTCGTGAAGTCCTTGTGTCACTTGTTGAATATCACCACAGTTCAACTACTACAAAGTGTTAAGGATCGGGTTTGCGGAGGTCGATGTTTGCCAATGCCCTGAAAAGATAAAGCACGAGAAAGAAAGAAAAAAAGGTGTGATATTGTACTGTTGTCAGAAGTTGTGTAGATTTATGTTGGCTTTAATTTTGTAGCACATAGCCGACTTCTCTTTCATGATTAAATATAGTTAGTTTTACGCAGAAAAACTAGCTAGGACCAGTTTGTTTTGAAAAGAAATTGAAGAACCTTTCAATAAAATGAACTGCTCGTAGCTGATTCACGTATGTTTTCCTTCAAAGTTACGCAAGCACTGTATCGCACGTTACGTTATTTATGAATCTCTACCTTATGTTGTTATTTACGATTTTGTATGTTCCTGTGTTAGTTGGTTTTATTTATTGCATTACATTATGAAAGTTTTGAAAGATGTCATGGTTTCGTAAGTTAATCTTATTTCTATAATTTCATATTTTACGTTGTAATGTGTGAAATTAAGGTTTTAAGCATATCTTATTTGGACAGTTTTCTAATCAAAAAATTTATTCAAATCAAAAATAAGCGTAAACTTTATCCGTTGTAATAAACATAACAATAAGCAACGCCTATGTTATTAATAATGACAGATTTACATCATGTTTAAAAGATAAAACTTTAGAAAAATTATGGCGTTTGAGAATATAAATTTACAAATGTTACAATCTCATTTTGAATTTACGATACAAATATAAACTATTCAGTAATATGAAATTAAATAGAATAATGTAATGAAAGCATGCAGACAAATGAAAGCAAGCATATGCACAAATATTCAGACACGACATACAAATTTTATTTGATAGCATCAATCAGACATTATGACCAAAAAAGGAGCCACAAATCTTGAAAAATTCTCCTCCAGGTCGAAAAAATTTGTTATTAAAGTACACATGCGGCCCTTCAAAGGTAAAATAGTTCTCAATGCGGCCCTCGCAGTAAAAAGTTTGCCCACCTCTGCTTTAGCTCATCTGCTCGGAGACTTATCAATAATTGATGAAGAATAAAATGTGATATGTCATAAAAAGTTTTTGGTATATTTCAATTTCACCAGTTTCTATTTTTACCTGTTTCCATCTTTATGCATATATATCATCATGATTTAAAAACATACTCATGAATTTTTGACAAAAGTTGAAATATTTTTAGCGTTAGAAAGCTCGTAAACTGTTCCATTTTATTTTATCCTATTCTATTTAATCCCATTTTATTACATTATATTTTATTTCGGTCTGATTAATTTTATTTCTTTCACTTATATTTTATTTTATTTTGTATAACTTCATTTCATTTTATTGCTGTTGCACTGGGAAACAAAAGCAGCAGACAGGTAGACAAGTCACGAACGAGTAGGTCTAATTAATCATTACATAGCCAACCGAGCCATCATCGGCGCGGTTTTCAAACGTCAGGCTTATGAATGAATTCATCTAAAATTTTAAAATTTGTATTTATTTATTTCAATATTTAATAAAAGTTAACGGTATTTTTTACATTGTCTGTCTCTGTATTATCATATATTATCTTTTTTATGAATGGAAAGTGAAACTACGTTAATCCTTATTAATGGAAAATATTTAAATTTTCCAAAAATTGTTATTGATATGTTTTGTCATCAGTTTTGCTTTAAAATAGTTTAAAATGTATTGGTCATAATTGAAAAGTTAACTATGATTTTAATGTTTAACTCTGGTCGTGTTAATGGTTAAAAGTATATTGCTATCGTTAATTTCAATAGAGACAAAATATTTTTTAACTTGCATATAGTTTGTGTGTTTATATATATTTGTGTTTCCTATGTGTATATATGGGTATGATTGCCTCTGTGTGTGTGTGTGTGTGTGTGTGTGTGTGTGTGGTGTGTGTGTGTGGTGTAAGGTTGCGAAAGTTTTTATTTCATAGCAAAGTAATTGAAGTGAAAATTTTTCAAGAGTGGTTTGGGTAGAGGAGAGGGTGAACGGTGTATGATCGATCGAGTTGATTATATTGTTATTGCAAAAAGAATGTAGATGATGCTGATGATGTGGATGATGATGACGATGGTGATTAAGATAGCTATGATGATAGTGATAGCAAAAGTATAGATGATGATGATGATTGTAACGATTATATTCGCACCGATGATGATGACCATAATGATGATGATGAAGATGATGATAATGACGGTTATGTATTTATTTACAAAAAGCGTTTAAAAGAAATTTTCACAATTCCATTCAACAAAGCCCAACAACCTCTTCCAACCATCTGGCTGAAGATCTCGGCAAACATTTGATCGCTGAATGACATCCAGCTGAATTTATTATTATTATTTTACTCCATTTTAGCATTTTTATTAGTATTACTATTATTATCGTTTCTGTTATTATTAACATTTTTATTATTGTTGTTGTTGTTGTTATAATTGATTTTATTGTTGTTATTAAGCTCTTCTGTCCGCAATTAAACCTTTTAATTTTACATTTTATTCATTCATTAATAACATTCTCATTCTAGTTAATCCTAAATTTTAACAATGTGTTTTTTTGTGTTAAAATAAAAAATATTTCGATTATTATTATTATTAATAATATGCTTATTATTATTATTATAGTTATTATTATTAATATGTTTATTTTATTATTATTATTATTAATTTATTATTTTATTTCCAGGTCATTGGAAATTATTTGGGCCGCCAAAAAGTTTTTGAGAAAGTTGAAGGAAGCCCTATATTTTGGCCAGGTTTCAATTCAGTAGTTTTCTACCGATCAATTATTTATTCAATCATTCTTTCAATCATTCCTTCTTTTTTCATTCAATCAGTCAATCAACTAACAATCACTCAACCCGTCATTTTATCTGTCAGTTAGTCAATCAACTATCTAATCAATAAATTATTCACATATTTTTTTTATCTAATCAATCATTCATTCGTTCGTTCGTTCATTAGATTTTTCGTTCATTCATTCGTTTGTTCATTCATTTATTCATTCATTCATTTATTCATTCATTCATTCTTTCATTCAGGCAACCGCACCGATCCACCCCCCGACATTCCGAAATGTGGATTTGACGGTAAAGGCTGTCCGCCAAAAGGTTCTTGAGGATGATGATAATTGTACGATGATGATGATGATGATAATTGTATGATGACGATGATGATAATGATTGTATGATGATGACGATGACGACGACGAAGGTGGTTATGGTTTAATTACATTTATTGATAACGATCCTTAAAATTTGTTGTATTCATTTGTGCTGTTCGTTTAGATGTTGTTGTTGATGATGGTTTTGCAGGTTTTTAACGAATGAACTCTGAGATCACTTCTATCGATTTTCGCGTCTGCTAATAGTCAAAAAATATTCCACGCTTTTATTATGATCTGATGTTGTTTCTGTTTTGAGTTTGTTAGTGCATGTGCAGTGCATGAGTCGTATTTGGCTTGTTTCTTCGCGTTTTATTTGATGTTATTGCTGAGGATCTATTGAATATTATCAAATCGCTTAATATTCCTTTCATTTTTTTTTATTTTGGACGTTATGAACGAACATTTGAAAATTGCAGAAAAAACACTAAATTTGCAACATTTCAAATCCAACCAGTTCACTAAATTTCCAGTTTTTTCCACCTTCCAGAAAAGTTGCCCGTGTCTGCATTCGTGGCAGTGGCACTGAGCATCATCCTCCTCATCGTCCTACTCGTCGTTCTCATCCTCTACAGGTCAGTTGTTTTCCATCATCTTCATACGTTCATCTTTTTTCTTAAATTTATGTTCACTTGTTTGCTTAGCTCAATAACAAAAGTGAACAGTTTGAAATAAATTGCGCGGAGTTAACCTTTCATTCTATAGAACTTTCATTCATGAAATTTTGATGAGTTGTTTAATCATTACGGATCTAAACAACACAGTAGCACGATGAAAATGCATTAATGCATATGAATGAATGAATGCATTTATGTATGTATTTACATATGCATGCATAAGTTTATTATATGTTTGTTTGTGAATTTGTAAGCATAATATATCCGTGGTAGTGTTTGTAAATGGGCGTGTGTGTGTCTATGTAGGTATGCGGTGAATGTGTGTGTATGTTTGCATATGTATATATGTGTGTGTGTGTGTGTGCGTGTGTGTGTGTGGATGTGTGGAAAATGTCATCACCATCGTTTTTTGACTTGCAATAATTTACAAAAAACGTACTAAACGTCGGATGGGACATTAATCAGAGTGAGAGAGATAGAGAGAGAAAGAAAGAGAGAGAAAGAAAGAAAAAGAGAGAGAGAAAGAAAAAGATAAAATATGTAGAAAATGTGAAAATGTGATTGGTCCAATATGTGAATGATCATATCATGCGCCAGGCTGTACTGCTTTCAATCTCAAAAATATTATTATATAACCATGAATACAAATTAAAGAAGTTTCTATATCATGTGTACCAGCAAACAAACAAACAACAGACACACAAACAAACATACGTGTAACAACATACAAACAAACATGTAACAACAAACAAATAAACAAATACACACACACAAAAAAAACAAACATACATACATACAAACAAACAAACAAACGAACGAACGAACAAACACACAACCAAACAAACAAACAGGCGAATGAAAGAGGAGGCGGAACTGTCGGAGGTACACTGGCGAGTTAAGTGGGAGGAGATAACATCCCCAAACTCTGAACTTCATATGGACAGAGTTGGCAGTATGCACAGTCTGGTCAGTCAGTCTATCTATCTGTCGGTCTATCTGTCTGTCTATCTGTCTGCCTGTCTGTGTGTGCTTGTTTGGATATCTATGCCTCTGTCTTTACGTCTGTCTGATTGTTTGTTTGTCTGCATATGTTTGTGTTAGGCTGGGTCTAAGTGTTTGTCTAGAGACAGAACATTATTTTACCTAGAAAATTGTTATTATCATATTTCCAACAATTATTTAAATTCAAACTAAAAATATTTAAATTCAAACTAAAAATATTTAAAACATTGATAATATTTTACATTGTTAAAAAAATGACTGCTGTTGCAGTTATGCCTAAAAAAAGATTAATATTATTATTCATAATGTTTGAAATGATGACGTATGAACCATCACCGACCATTGAGCAGAAGGGGTCCATAGGTAGCCACGCCTCCTTCGACACGTTGGCCGTTAGTGAAACCGGTCCGAGACAGATATTTACAAAAACTGGTCACTACAAGGTTGGTGTTGTTGTGTGTTGTTGAGTGTTGGTTAAAGTTTGTGTGTTGTTGTTGTTGCTGCCTATGTCTGTCTGTTAAGATGTCTTGCGCAGACACGTGTGTTGTGCTGTTGTGTAATTGCTGTTTCCGATGTTGCGTGTTTTGTTGTGTTAGTTGCTTTACGCCATTTTATGTTTGTCGTTGCGCGTATAAAAGTGGTTTTTTTAATTTTGTTGTTGTTCGTATTGCTGTTTGTTGCAAGCGTCGCCGATTTTTCAATTTTCAAAGTGGGTTTTCCATTTTGTTGTTTTTACACACAGATGTTGTCTAATGCATAGTAGTTGGTATATCGTTATTTCATTTGAAATCTTGTGAATTCTTTCGTTGCTGTTGTTCATAATCATTGTAACTTAAAGGTAAAACTATTGCTCTCTTCATTACAAACATAAGTCCAACCGAATAATGAGATTTTTTATGTGTGCGTTTGTATGTGTTTTGTGTAGTTATGTGAGTGTTTATGCGTGTGTGTATGTGTGTGTGAATGTGTTGTGTGTTTGTGTGTGCATGAAGTTCGCGTGTATATATTTGCTATTTGCAGGTGGGTTTTTAAATAATAAATAACACGTCAATCATTTTTGCCAATTGCAACGAAACAAAGAATAGGTACGTAAACAACAACAACAACAAAAACAACAGCAACAACAACAACAACAACACCAATAACAACAACAACAACGAGTACTTCAACTCCATCATCTGCGCTTTTTTGCAGGAATCTTAGAAAAGAAAAATAAATTGAAGCGTAATGTAAAAACGAAATTGTAGCAGTGTGAAACTTTACAGGGCAAAAATTATTTAAAAATTTAAACTGTCTAGTTATTCATCTATCTGTCTATTTATCTATCTATTTATCTATCTTTATATCTATCTGTCTATCAATTAATCACATTGTTCTACGCAGCGTTCAGCATAACTTTAGCAAACTAATTAATAATATATCATGACGTTATATAATAAAATCAAAACAAAATAATTAGTTGTTAATATAAAAATTTTCACACATAAGTTTTTGATATCATGATATCATGATATCCAATGAGACCACAATAGATATCTACTGAATTGTAGGGTATCCTATATATTGTAGCACTCCTAAATGAATTGTTTCTAAAAGTGCATGAGTTTTTTGGATGGTTTTTTTTCTGTAGTGTGCGCATATTATGGTACACGAGTGAACAGATTTGCCAAATTCAACAATTCACTTGAGGAGGTTGTTTATTTAATGATATGTTGTTGTTGTTGAGTTGTTGTTGTTGATGTTGATGTTGTTGTTGTTGTTGTTGTTAAGATTTTCGTTACACGTTCGAGTTGTTGTTGTTAAGAATTTCGTTACACGTTCGACAATTAGTGACAATTTTATCGGCTAGTACTCTTACTGGTGCCCATTTTTTTGCTAAAGGAGGTTGTTTGTCCAATGATGTGCTGCAGCTGCTACTGTTGTTGTTGAGTTGTTGTTGTTGTTGCTGCTGCTGCTGCTATTGTTGTTGTTTTTGTTACCTACTAGATCCCATTCAGTGTTTTTTCTCATTTTGTTTTTTGGTCACACATAAAGAATTTTAATTAAATTATTTCTATTTCAACATCTATTTCTGTGAAATATTTCACAAAACTTTTTTTTATATCGATCAAATTAGCAAATTTTTAAGATCCAAATGTGAACTTTAGATAGGAACAATGATGAACCTAAGTCATAGATTAGAAAAATATTTGTTTACTGTATTAAAAAGTTTATTTAATATATCAAAATATTTATTTATTATATTAAAATATTTATTTAATATAATAAAATACTTATTTAATATATTAATATATTAAAAACAAAAACAAAAACGAAAACGAAAAAAAATCAATTTTAAAAGTTGAAAAATGAAAAAAAATGAAAAAATTACAGTCAACAGTTGTGGCCATCAAAACATTTGACAGACCTTTCAATTCAACAAAACCTCTCTTAATCAGCATCAAAAAGGTTAGTTAACTCTTTTTTTCATTCATTCATTCATTCATACACACACACATACGTTCCATAATTCATTTATTTAGTTACTCATTCATTCATTCACTCATTTGCTCATTCAGTCATTCTTCGAGTTTATTCATTCTAACAGACTACCAGCCACACCTCGTTCGACCGCTTTTCATTTTTTTTTTTTCCTGCATACGTTTAACCTTCTATAGATTGATAAATAAATCATTTCTCCGCTTATTCAGTTATTATTTATTCATTCATTTATTTTATTCATTCGATTATTCCTTCCTTTCTTCATTCATTCATTCATTTATTCGTTCGTTCGTTTGTTTATTCGTTTACATTCATAAAATGCAAATTTTCACGATAGTAATTGTTTCGCCCGTTTCAGTTTTATTACGTAATTTGTTCTTTGTTCATATTGATCATAGGAATAAATTATTTCAAATAATTTTATACGTTAATCCGTTGAAATGAGGCTTATCAAATTAAGATGAAATCAACAACTACCTTAATTGAAACCAATTTATTTCAAATCAATTTTGACTCAAAAATATGCAAAATTATAGCTGCATTTTTATCATTTTTAGTTATTTGCAATTAAAACTGTAATAAAACGAAGCCACGTTGTCTGCAAGGCACGTACACGCACTCGCCACAAATGCGTCACACCCACGATGGTAGGAGTAGTGCCTGCCTGACTGTTTCTCGCAATCTGCTATCTCGAAACATGTCGGCCAAGCCCTGCCCTGCTCGCTAAGTTGTCTTGTTGCGTCATCACTATCTTCTCATTATAACAAATTTACATATAGACCGTTTGACTAGTTGGTCTGAACGATTTCAATATTAATCAATGTCTATGCGGATAAATTATGTTAACGCGAATAAATTATGTTAATGTGAATAAATTATGTTGGTGTGAATAAATTATATTGGTGTGAATAAATTATTTTAACGAATAGCTGAGGGACCTGACGAACGATCACGTGGCACGATTCATCGGAGTCTGCATCGACCCGCCCAACCAATCAATCATCACTGAGTACTGCCAGAAAGGAAGTTTACAGGTCTGCTGCTCCTGCTGATGCTGATGACGATGACGATGATGATGACGATGATGAGAAGAAAGAGTAGGATTTTGATGGTTGTGATGATAATGATGACGAAAATTTTGTTGATGGATGCAATGATGACGGTAATTGCGGAAATGGTTGTCGTTTGTCACATCATCCCCATTTTTACATGGCTGAAGTCGATGACGTCATTACTGAGGTCATATATTGTATTAGGGTGGTGTATTTAATAAATGAGAACAAATAACATTATAGCTTACATTTTTTTTAAGTAATTTCAAATATTTTAATATATATACGCACACACGCACACTAATACATATACACGCACATACTCACAGACACGCACACGCATACTCACAGACACACACACACACATACTCACAGAGACACACACACACACATACTCACAGAGACACATACACACACACATACTCACAGACACACACACACACACACATACTCACAGAGACACATACACACACATACTCACAGAGACACACACGCACACACATACTCACAGAGACACACACACACACATACTCACAAACACGCAAACAAAGGATGTCCTTGAAAACGACAGCATCAAGTTGGACCGCATGTTCAAGTTCTCACTCATTCAAGATCTTATAAGGGTGATAATTATGACAATATTAACGTAATAATATAAAATAGTAATAATAATAATATAACGCAGTAATAAATAACAATAATAATAACAATAACCCCCAACTACCACCATTCCAGGGCATGTGCTACCTACACAGCAGCGACATCAAGTACCACGGCAACCTCAAAAGCTCTAACTGCGTCGTAGACAGCAGGTTCGTCCTCAAGGTCACTGACTTCGGCCTGCTAGAACTTCGCTCTAGGAGATCTTCGCATGATGTCGATTCCTTTGCCTACTATAGATGTTAGTTGGTTGGTTGACTGGCTGGCTGGCTGGCTGGTTGATTGGTTGGTTGGTTGGTTGGTTGGTTGGTTGGTTGGTTGGCTGGTTGGCTGGTTGGTTGGTTGGTTGGTTGGTTGGTTGGTTGATTGGTTGATTGGTTGGTTGGTTGATTGGTTGGTTGGTTGGTTGATTTGTTGATCATCTACAATAAAATCTGTCAGACATTTACGTACAAATATTTTTGTTTGTATCAAAAGGCACTAGATATCCAGTCAGTCACGAGTTTATGACTTTATTCTGACAGAGAAGCTTAGCAGCTCTCATTCGCTGAACAAACTTTATGAATTAAATTTTTAAAAACCATTTGATTTTTATGACTGAAATTATTCGGTATAAATATTTTATAATAGATTATGCAAAATATAAAATGAAAAAAAAACTAATTTTCCGAGCCAATAACTAATTTTTCACCTACTTCCCACCCACCTAATACCCACCCAGCTAAACTATGGACGGCCCCAGAGATCCTGCGCATGGAGGATAGCAGGAAGTGCGCAGATTCAACGAGCAGAATCAACTTGTATGAAAAATCTCACGTGGGTAACATACGTGCCGTGTAGCAACGTGATGTTGTTGTTGTTGTTGCTGCTGTTGTTGTTGTCGTCGTCGTTGCCGTTGTGGCTTGTGGTCGTTATGAATCATGCGACATGATAATGGAACGCATCGTCTATGAAGAACAATGAACTTGAACTTTAATTAGTTTTGCATACAATGTTATCTATTGCTGTTACATGATGTATTTTATAAATTTTCTCCTGTGTTATTCAGGGGTGCCAGCGTCAAACTCACAACGTAAATCAATGCATCACACACATTATAAGTGGGGAGCTCTTTGCAATCGAATCCAGTCACTGCAACGTCAATGTCAGGCATCTTATCTATTCCGCCATCGCGATTTATAGTTGTTATCAGTTGAGCTAACAGATTTGAAAAAGTTCTTATGTGGCGTATCAATGCATGTTCCGTGGTTCTTTCATGAAATGTATTAAGCAGCACTTTGTACGATGATAAGCAGCGTATAAATATCTTCTCAACAGTACATCACAAATGCTACAAAAAAAAACAATGGAAAATAATGCACGAATTACCAGACAAACTTTTTGTAGTAGCAAAAAACGAAACATCATAACAACACAACATCACAACAACACAACACAATAGCATTATGACAACACACGCACAGCAACAAGCGTGAACATACAACTAATCAACCTCGTATCAACATTCTAACGTTTACAACACAGAAACAATGCAACAAAAACAAATAATCAGAACAAAGAAGAAGGAAAACAATACCAAAATCAAGAACACAACAACATCAACCAAAATATACGGCAGCAAAACAACAACAAACAACAACAACACCAAACAACGACAACAACACCATCAACGACAACAACAACAATAACAACAATACAACAACAACAACCACATCTCAACAACAGCTCTTTCAAAAGCAATCAAAAGTTCGGGAGTTGGCCTTCGTGAAGGGGGACGTGTACAGTTTCGCCATCATCTGCCAGGAGGTGGTCCATAGGAAGGGGGTATTCTGGGTCAGGAACGTGGAAAATATCTCGCCGCATGGTTCGGTCACAGTCATAATTCTAAATGAATGCTGTATAATTATTATAAAAGGTAACATTACGCAACTTAATATAATGTTATGATTTGTTAAATGAGTGAAGACTCAAAAGTCTCAAATGTCCAAATCAAAGTTAGACGAGATACTTGAAAGAAATGTCCCAATGTCTCAATAAAAATACGGCTTCGAACAACTGAATTAACAAAAAATAATTCATCAAGTTAATAAAACTTAATAATATAACAAAACAAGGTCAAAATCATTCAAACTCAACCACAAACCACAAAAAATATTTTGACAGAAATCTACCTGCTGGTGAAGAGCGACAAGAAGCCATGTTTCCGACCGACCCTGCTTCAGTACGGCGACGACAGTGACGACACCTGTGCTGATGACCTTTGCACTCTCATACAGAAGTCATGGACGGAGGATCCGAACGAGAGGCCAGAGTTCAATCAGATCAAGAACAGCGTCAAGAGGATGAACAAGTTCGTTTCCATGGAGTGTGGTGATGTGAAGTGATAAGATGTGGCGTGGTGGCATTAGAAATGTAATCTGGTATAATTATTCATATTTATTAACATAATTGAGGCAAAACTTTAAAAAAACGCATTAATTTTTGTGCTGTTTTCTTCCTTCTCTGTCAAGTTTCCTAATATAAGAAAGCATCTGCTGAGCAATACATCAGAGTAAAATGGTTGTTGTGCACATGTTACGAACTGTTCACTACGCACCTGTACAGATGTACGCAAAAGTACATTGCATATAATTAGCAATATCAGATTTTCAATTTTTATTTATAAATTTGGTGTTATAGAACAACTCTTGAGCGATATAGCGTCGCTTGATTAAACATTGAATGCGTGAGACCGGAGAGCTAACAAGAAGATACATGACTGTAGATTTTGTTTAGTCATCAACGCTTCTTGAAATTAATTGTTTTAGGGAAACCTGGTTCGAAAGCAAAGAAATCCAAATTAACATACGTGAATCTGAGTTAGGATGGTTTAAGTGTTCAATAGCCATCGCATCGAAATTAAATTAAAAAATGAACGTCTCAATATTAAAAAAACGTCGTTAAAGTTTTGAAACTTTTACTCCATTCGTTGGTGCTATTAACAAAGATGATGTTGCCAAACAATTTTGTCTGCCGTGTTGTTTTTTGCTGTTTTGTTTAGTTTTTTGATGTTGTTTCGTACAAAGAAGATAGCGGGTTTCTATCTTGAAATGTTTTTGTGACAACATAATGGTTTTATATCGTCCCGATTTATAAATGCGTTTCTAAGTCTTTTGTGCTTGTTCAGTTCGAGCCTACAATATCAGTGCATTAATATTTGCAAGTGTTTAAGGAAGGCCAGGTGTGTGCGTGTGTGTGTGCGTGCGTGTGTGTGTGCGTGCGTGTGTGTGTGCGTGTGTGTGTGCGTATGTATGTGTGTGTGTGTATAACATATGCCACTAAAGTAATTTTTTATAACTATTTAGGATCGCTCTTTCCAAACGCTGCCCTGAATCCTGAGTAGATTTTTATTTTTCTGTTTCTGGCCTGGTGTGATATTTTTTTGGCAATATTTCTCAGGGAAAATTTTTTAGCCAAAAAATATTTTGAGAAACGATTGTCACTTTTGTATTTTTTTCCTTTTTTGACGTATACATAGAAGTAGACGTCTTATGGTTTTTTATTGCAATGTGGTTTGTAACTATATTTCGATCGTTGTTCCTCTAGATTAGTCACACGACTTAATTTCAAACTTGATTCGTTTCCATTATTCTCATTAGATGAGAACAAACAAATATAATAATGAAGATTCTAAGTTGTAACATTATAATCTTTCCCATTGTAAACCTCAGGACGTTTAATTTCAAACATCCATGGTTTTCTTTTGCAAATGACACAGATTAATTACTTGATTTCAGTGAAATTACTACATGATTCTTTTACAGTTTTCTACCTTTTGATATGCATCGTGTGCTTGTTCTCGTGTTAAATGTATAACTCTGATGTAATGTGCATCCGGAGGTTGTCGTTTCAACTGGTGTCTCGGAGGTTGTCGTTTCAACTGGTGTCAGCCTCTAAATAATGATCCCCCTGATTAGCGTGTATATCAGGAAGACAACAAATCAAAGAAAAATTAAAATGTGCTTTTTAAAATGAATATTCATTGTTGTTCTTGATTATTTTTTACTATGCACATAGTTCTATCGAACGCAGTGTTGCCGATAGTTTGGTCTCTTCTCATCTTACTAAGTGGCTATCAAACTTTTGTGCCACGAACGCACTATCATGCACACTCCACACACACCTCACCAGACGCCACACCACACCACACGCGCACAAACAACAAATCGCACGCCCATAGCATATGATAGTCTACGTGTTTCAATTTGAATAAAGGCAGTATCAAACCACATCAACGCAACATTCTGCATCCAGACTCTACCATTAAAATTAAAAATGATGAAAAACAAAATGAACGCAGAGACATGGGGGGTGGAAACTTGCTGGACAACCTGCTGAGTCGCATGGAGCAGTATGCCTGCAACCTGGAAGGCCTCGTGCAGGAAAGAACTGCTGACTACCTCGAGCAGAAGAAGAGGGCAGAGAACTTGCTCTATATGATGCTGCCTAGGTGAAGATATGATGATGATGTTGTTGATGGTAATGATGATGATGATGATGATGATGATAGTGTTGATGATGTCTGGTTTTATGTTGGTGATGATGATAACGATGATGATAATGATAGTACTGATGATGTCTGGTTTGATGATGGTGATGGTGATGATGATGATGATAATGATGATGATGTCTGATTTGATGAGGTAATGGAAAGGTTGAAAACTTGTTACTTAGGTGATGAGGATGATGATAACGTTGATGATGATGGCGTGAGTGATGATGGGAGTGGTGATGATGATGAATAAATGGTTGATGCTTACAGACTTCTTAACCACCATTGCCGTTGGAGGGAGATGATTAAAATTATGTCACCATCATCATTTAATTACTAGCAATAAAGATGAACAATGCAATGGCAAGCGTGCAAACGTCAAAAATACTGTCACGCTATTTTAATCTTCGAAACCCTCATCAGCATCGTCGTCATATTTATCATCATCTCGCATCATCTTCATCGTCATCATTGTCATTTTCTCATCATCATCTTTCATCATCACTATCATCTCTATCATTGTCATCTTCATTCTTGTCATTATCATCATCACCGCCATAGCGTTAATTAATCTTCAATGATAATTATTGTTATACACAGCAGTTATTATCACCAGTCAATCCATCACAAAATAATGAACATCCTTTAAAGCTTCACGTCATCATCTTTCATCATTTGAAAGTTTTTATCATCATCAACTGAATCTTCTAATCATTTTGATATTTTTTTGTCGATTTTTGACGAAGGATGGCCGTGATAGAATCTATATATCATGATATATTATAATACTTGATATACAATGATATATATGTGATATACAAAGAACCATGCATGGCCACCTTAATAGAAACTTTCGTTTCACATGTAGATACATGTCTTCATATCATCATTTTTTGTCATCATTCCCATCTATATAAATGTTAAACTTATATAATCGCCATTGCCTCCATCACCGTCATCATCTTATTCATTATAAATATCATCATTGTTGTCGTCATCATCATCATCATCTTTTCATCACATCATCATCAACGTATTCGCATTCATCGTAGTTTTCTTCAACCTCTTACATTTCTTCCGCCTTTTCCTCTTCTTTATCATCATCATCTTCTTCTTCATCGTCATCCTTCCATCATCACCGTCATTTTCATGTCGTCATTATCATCATCGTCATCCTCATTTTATTATCGTCATAATCGCCATAAATACGTCATCGTCATTTTCGTTCCACCATCGTCAGCGTCATTTTCATGCTACCATAATCATCGTCAGATCTGTGGCCACTCAGCTGATGCAAGGTATGAACGTTAAAGCAGAGAAATATGAGAGCGTCACCATCTACTTCAGTGACATCTGTGGCTTCACTTCACTCTCTGCACTCAGCACACCTATGCAGGTCTGTCGTCGGATTGATTGATTGGTTGATTGATTGATTGGTTGGTAGGTTGGTTGTTTGATTGATTGGTTGGTTGATTGGTTGACTGATTGATTGATTTAATTTCTAATAATTATAAAACTAACAACTTGATAAATTTGAAATAAATCATTCTCCCTCGGCAGGTGGTGGACTTGCTGAACGATTTGTACACGAGTTTTGACGTGATCATCGAAAAGTTTGACGTCTACAAAGTTTGTTGGCTACGTTTACTTCAACATTTTAATTGAACATCACAAACGTAGTTGCTTCACTCAACTTATAATAGGAATTTAAATTAAATTTTCTAGAAAATATCATTTTTATATTGCAATTTAAGGGTCCTACACATAACCAAAAAGTTTTTTTTAGCGATTCTTCAAACAGCAAAAACTTTTAAAGTGATAGCAGGTCTTCAAATGCCAAAAACCATTTCCTGGTTTTTATGAAATTCACACACGCTAGGTCGAAACGATCGGCGATGCTTACATGGTGGTGTCTGGTCTGCCGGTGAGGAACGGCCTTCTACACGCCAGGGAGATTTGCAGGATGTCCTTGAAACTGTTAAAAGAGGTCAAGTCCTTCAAGATCAGACACATGCCTTCCGATAAGTTGATGCTAAGGATCGGTGTCCACTCAGGTTCAGTAGATTTTGGTGGATGGTTGGATGACTTGTGTGTTTTATTCATTCATCTATTATTTCTTCACTCATTTTCACTCAGTTTTCACTCAGATTCTTCACTCAGTTTCATTCATTCATTCATTCATTCATCCATCCATCCATCCATCCATTCATTCATTCATTCAGTCAGTCAGTCAGTCAGTCAGTCAGTCAGTCAGTCAGTCATTCATTCATTCATTCATAAGTTCTTTATTCGTTCATTTTTTATTATCTTTTATGCATTCATCAAAACACGCTAAGCGAATTTTTATATATTCATACATACAAAAAACTTTTTCCGACTTAGGCGCGGTATGTGCGGGTGTGGTTGGACATAAAATGCCAAGGTCAGTGAGTTCGCGCCATTTTTTTTATTACCGTTGCAGTGATTCTGTTAAGTTTGTTGATTTGTTAATTGATTGAATGATTGATTGATGCATCAGCAGTTACGTCGTCTTGACGTCATCATCACCTCGCCATTTTTGATTCACTGTTGCAATGTTTTTGATGAATTTGTTGATTTTATCGGCAGTCACGTCATCGTGACGTCATCATTTTCACGTTTTCATCATTCCACCACGAACCACACCACACCACAGGTACTGCTTGTTTGGTGACACCGTCAACACTGCCTCACGTATGGAATCAAATGGAGAGGGTGAATATCGATGGTGACGATGACGATGATGATGAAGATGATAAGAAGGCTGATGATGACAAAAATGATGGCGATTGTGTGATGAGAAGGATTATTAAAACTTCATCAATAACAATTTTTTCTTCCGTATCAGCTCTGAAGATTCACGTGAGTCCAGAAACTAAAGCTACGCTGGACATGTTTGGGACGTTCAAACTGGAGTTCAGAGGACCTGTTGTTATGAAGGTTAGTTGGATGGTTGGTTGGTTGGTTGACTGGTTGGTTCATTGGTTGGCTGGCTGGCTTTTTGGTTGGTTGGTTAGTTGGTTTGTTGGTTGGTAGGAGGGTTAGGGTCAGCCTGTAGGGTTTTCAGGTGATTGAATTGCCTAGTGGCTGGTTGGTAAATTGATCAAATGATTGGCTTCTGTTGCTGATCAATTGCTAATCAATAAAAATTTGAAAATAATTGCATTTTTAGATATTATAACTGTTAGTTTAGTTCATCATTCAATTTTCAGTTGGATAAAGAATTAAATTCATTTCAATTGGAACAGGGCAAAGGTGAGATTTGTACTTGGTGGTTGATGGGGGAAGAGAACCCTGAATTTCCTGAACTTTCACCTGCCGAAATGCATCTGTGAGGTCATCCACTGTTTAAAAAAATACCAAAATACCTAAAAACGAAAATTAATGCGAAACCAACATAATTATTAACATTAAAAATAGTGAATGGCATTAAAAATAACAATGAAAAAGCAGAAAGAAGTTTTGTTGAAAACCTTTAATACACAAGCGAATGTTTTAACAAACATGTTTTATAAAAAAAATTTTAACTTCTCCCTATAAAGTGATTTTATTCATATTTTTTCACGTAAATAAAAGTGTGCTAGTCTTTTAAATATAATGACGTAACGAACGTTTATTTGTGATGTAACTATTAGTATATTTATTAGATTTTTAATTAATTTTATATTAATAAATATTGTAGCGTTGTTTTTTTTTCAATTTTTCAATTTTTCTCAATCTTTAAAATTATTTTTATAAAATTTCTAAAATGGTTCTTTAATTCAAGATAAACTTGTATAGGCTATATCTTACCTACTTGAAGTTTATCAATATAAAATATTTATTCGTTCCTGAAAGAGAATAAATAATAATTTTAATTAATTTTAATTGTCTAAAAAGTATATTTCGTAATTTATATACTTAATATTAATGACAAACCTTTTTCCTAGTATTTCTCGTCCATTTTCTTCGATCATTTATATTTTTCATTAAAATTGTCAACTCTTCGTAAATGTATATTTCATAAACTGCAATGTTTATTTAAGATATAAATGTTTCACATTTTTTAAATTAACTCTATTTTAAATCCAAGCCTACCATACTGTATTATGAATAATAAGAGTACGTTAAAGAGTTAAAGTTCAAATCCAGGACTAAAATTGAATAAACCACGTGTTAGAATCAAAACATTGTGCTAAAATTATATAAACCACATGCTAAAGTTTAAATTACGGGGTTTTCACGGAATAAAATTGAAAAAATTGTTAGTTTTAACTATTATATTATATCACAAATTAAACAACATCTAACACGAAATGTCAAAAGTGTGATTGCAAAACTATACAAAAATTTGTATATATTAAAAAACATCCTTTTAGAGTTGGTGTCTTTTAATGTAGTCTATGCAAATTGTTTTGTAAGAAAATCAAACAAGAAATAAACCAGGCTCGAATATAGTTGAGTAACTTAATAAAGTGAAGTAGGTAGCTGAGTTTGCAAAGGAAGTTTGGTAACGAGTCACCTTTAAGCTGGATGAACAATTTTCAAAACTCATATGTGCAGTTCAAAATCTTAAACACATTTAAATTGCTAAATTTTAAATTTAATTAATTCTTTTTAAATAGTAACATAGAAAGTATGTGTCAATTTATTTCAGTAACGCTTTAAAATTTTTAAGAATACAAAGGAATTTCTTTCTACAAGGTATTTAATTGAAGATTTGTATCGAAAGGCAAACCGTATAAATAATACTCTGGAAAAAATGAAAAAAGTAAAATAAAGAGCAAAATGAATCAAATTGATCGCTCAGTGACCTCATTCAAACATCCGACATATTCATGACGCCAACTTATTGACTAATGAACTGTGAATTTCCTTTCTGACGTTTATATCTCAAAATCTGGCAGTCATCAGCAGAGAAAGCAGCAACGCCAGGAGAATTCTGTCCTTTTGCTTCATTGGTCACAAGAATATAGTTATTAGCATTCCTGCCTTGCACTGATGATGAACTTGAATCACTTGACGTATTCTTCTCCTTCAAGAACTTCGTCAGATCAATTTTTTGAATAATTAGATTGAACCACTCACGATGAAAGATGTAGAGGCAGTTGTTGATGGTGGTGGGTGGCATATCACTAACAGGCATCTTCAGCTTCAACACAGACGACCACTGATTACACTCTACATCATACATCTCTCCGTCCTTTGCTGAATGAATTATTTTTACAAATTAAAATAAATTTTCAAATTGCTTAATAGGAAATTTCACATCTTAAATTATTTTTTGCATGAACTTGGTGACATCAAACAACGTACCTAATTACTCGCGAACGAATAACAAAATTCAAGAAAGGAGTGACAACGAAAAAATGAACCATTGCATTTTTAGATCGCACTGTTTCATCTCCAAAGACGAAAATCTTATTCCCCGTGCACGTCATAACGGGGTCACAACGTGGCATCAACATGGGAGCCCTCGAAAACCATTTGTTGCGAAAAGGGTTATATTGGTATACCAGATTCTGCAAATAGCCTCTTTTGACATAAAATCCGCCCCTGACATACATTGTACCATTGCATACAAAACCTATTGATGGTAATGGCTGGATATGAAAGTTGGGTTATAATGATACTATAAAACAATAAACAGATTTCGAGAATATATATATATACATACAGTTGTTTATGTATAATATATATATATATATATATATATATATATATCAAAGTTGAAAATGCATTGATGTTTTCCTCTTGAGATTCATTTTGCAGTTGAAATTGAAATAGATACCACCAGCACAGGATGTTAAATAAATGGGTGATTGTTCAGTGCCGATACAATCGGTCATTGAAGATTCAACAAAATCATAAACCGGCAAAATATCAAAAAAGTTTTCATCCTCGTCCTGAAATTAAAAACAAAAAAAAGTAACAACGAATTTAAAATTTAAAAAAATTAAATTCACACCTTTTTTACAGTTATACTCAACAAAAACAGCGTACCAACTGCACGAAAAATATTTGAATCTTTATCTGTATCGCAGCTAATATATAAATTCATATCATGAAGTACGGCAGAACATTTCTGTCTCTCTGCGGTTGTCATCAGACTGTACCTCACTTCCGTCAAAAATTTTTCAGCAAAACATTTCCTCGACTGATCCTCCGAAACCCACTTGATTATCAGATTGAAAATATTTATCTTCAGAAATATCCATCTTCAAAAATATCCATCTTCAGAAATATCCATCTTGCTTCCACTTCATTCAACGACTTCAGGCAAGTACCTCTGCTTTCCATCTCGTTGGTTGACAACCTGGATAAATAATCTCTTACTTCTATTAAGGATTCACTCGTTAAACATTCCAACGTAAGCTCTCTATAATGGGCATTTCTCATTCCACTATTCACCAAACCTTGGAAATAATCACTGGTCCGAAGAAGCATGTTTCTGTCAACCGGATGACGACCTCCTGATTTAGAAATTAGTACAATTCGCTCTTCTGTTGAACCATCATTACTTTCCTGAACCTCTCATCATTTCCAACTCTTTCACAGCTTTGTGATAAATAAGAATTCAGATTATACGGCTACAATGCAATACTGTTTATGATGCAATAAAAAGATCTTCTGCATTTATTCAAAATATTATCAATAAACTTGGATATCTTTTAGGCAAATTTCCAATATATATATATATATATATATATATATATATATATATATATATATATATATATATATATATATATATATATATATTCCTAGACATATAAATTATACTATATCCTATTAAACCGTTTTATTTGTTTTTTATTCATCCACAACATGCACATGCATCTATGTGTCCTACGTTCTTCTACGTTGTCGTATTATGTGGTAAAATCATTCACATTTACAACTCATGTTACAATTCAGAATTCACAGGGTTCTTAGCGCAGTAATTAAGTTTCCTCACGATGACTTTATTATCACTGACTTACAGAGTTGTTAACAATACTCATAAAAAGCAGCGCCACTACCCCTACTGCATGTAAAATGTAGCGTCGCTATCACTGCTTGAAAAAAGTGAAAAAAGCATCGATAACTATTTTTTGTTGAACTATCATGTAATAAGCATTATAAAAACATTTTTCACCTAATCCATTTTGGTTGAAATCTTGAAATATCTGTAATATCACAACAAATAATATTATAACATTTATGATCTCGATATTCTAAGTTGAAATTTTTATGTGGAAAAAAGCTTTTAAGCAAACCTGGCAAAAATAGGATATTAAAATCTCAGAATGGTCCTGTCATAGACTCAGTCTTCTTGTATCATTATAAAAATCTTATGTTATGTTAAATGTTACAAAATAGTCAAACACTGCTCATCCATCTTACTTACTACACGGTATCCATGACGACGTAAACTACTCTTTAATGGTTTTTTGCGCGTGCACTTGTAAAGCTCTGTCTTTCTTTTTAGATGTTGGAACAGCGAAATAAAACTTAAATAAATAATTGATTAATTACCTGATTCAAAATGAATGATATAGTGAGTTTTATTTAATCTGTTTTCATTCTTAATATTGAATATTCCATTTTTAATAATTAATGAAACATTTTTAATTTTTTATTGAAGCTGGAAGATGATGACACTGACATGTCAGCTGTCAATCTAAACTCAAATGCTGACAACAAAGAATCAACTCAGTATTTAATGAATCGTCTGCTCGAGTTGGAAGTTAGTGACATTTATTTTTTGAAAAAATAATATTCATTATAATTATAATATAATGAACATTAATTTTGGAATTATTAATTATATTATACTTCAGTCAGAGATCTAAGTGATATAAAAATATAAGAGTGTGAAAAATACTGAAACTAAACTTTATAATTATATATCCACAATTATTAGTTAATTTTGTTAACAAAATTTTTTTATATACAAATTTATTTGAAGACTGAAATAGCATCGCTAAAGAGACAGCTGACCATTGAAAGAGAAAACTTTGAGAAATATGCGAACCACATATCCAGGTTGAACGAGGCACGGGAGGAATTGATTGTGGAGTATGAAACTAAAGAGAAAGAACTGATCAATGAGATCACATCACTCAAGCAACAATTGAACTGTTAAGTTTATACATTTACTTACAAAATTTAACAATTGCCTATTACTTTTTTACCAATTTTAATTCAACAAAACGTTTATTTATAAAAAAAATTGTATCATGTTATAGGTTACAGAAACAGCGAGACTCGAGACATGTTGATAAACCAGGGGATGCAAGACATATGCATGGCACCTCCAGGCCAACAAGTAGCCTACCTCCTCATCGAAAGAGCTCGACTGATGGACACCATCGAAGAAATAAAGCAGCGATACCTACTGCTCAATCAGAGTAACTTCAATGCAAACAGGCTGTTGAGCAACTACAATGGTGGACTGGATAGTGGATACGTCAGTGGCAGGAGTGAGTCTCATCAGTCCTATCCATCCAACAATGATTCGTCTAATTCCTGGGTTAGTGGCTTTTTCTATTTTAATATATAAACCACCTAAATATAGAATTTTTTTTGTTTTACTATTTTGTAACATTACTCATCTGCAGAACATATCAAATCTCAATGAGCTGCTAGTCAAAGTTGAAAATTTAGAAATTAACAACAAACTTCTGGAAGATAAACTCGTTAGTTTTGAAATTAAATAATTAACTTTCTATTTTTATTCAATAAATAATTATTATTAAATTAATCAAAAAATCTAATTTAAAAGAATTTAATTTTTCTTTTAGATATTAACAAATACTCCTTGTTTTCCTATCATTTTCATTGTCAAACTTCCTTACACTACCGAAAAATCAATATTCATTTCACTGCACCAATTTTTTAGAAAGAAATTTCGCCAGAAGACTATGAGGACCTCGTACAGAATGGTGTATACAAGCTGTCACTCAATGATTTTTATGAAGAATTTGATAATTCCATTGATAAGAAGACATCTAGTCCTTCCAATGTTACATCTTCCAATTTTCGACAATTCATTCCTTATCTTACACACACACACGTGTTTACATTCGATTTCTTTGTAATTGTAATCTATGCCCACATCACATCACCGCACACACATGCACAAACACACACACACAGACCATGACCTTTCAAAAGCCTAAATCTTTGGTAGAGGCCATAGAGAGGTTGAGGTCAGCAGAGGTCAGATGTCACAGGGTCAAACATTTGCAAAATGAGTTGAGGTTGAAAAAAAATGAAATTGAAACATTGAACAGTCAACTTGTTGAACTTCGGTTAGTTGTTGTTGGTGTGTTATTGGTAATATACAATATCTAAGAATTAAGTAAATACTTCAAATATTTTTTGAATAAAATGCAGTTGAGATTTTTAAATCACAGTAAATTGCTTTGATACGCTGATATTTATGGAACCTATCTACAGTTACAGAATGCAAAGTTTGTTCATTTATAAACGTAGGTAATACTACAAAAAAATGCTACATATCGTGCGAAATCGATGTAACATTGTGTTACAACAAATTAACAACCTGAACAACTATGTTAATGCAACGCACTACAACAGCATGTAGCAGTACACAGCGACCTTATACACCCATCAACGTACGATATCCTACAACGACGAAATTGAAACATTCCTACAGGCAGCACAGGTCAACAACAACAACAACAACAACAACAACTGAAGACGGGTTGGTGTCACGAGATGAACTGCAACAGCAACAAGACTTGGCACTGAAACACGGTGAGAAGATTGAGACATTGTTGAAGTCTGTTGAGGAGCATCTGATGAACATCAAGTCAACTTCAAAGGAGGTTTGTGTTTGTCAGCGAAACTTTTCTTTCACGTTCGCTTTCAAACAATCTTTCCAGCATTTTACTATCCTAATTTTGCTTCGTTTGTTTTGTCAACGTTGTTAAATGTTGTGTATTCCAAACAAAATGGTTGCGTGATCTCTTCAAAAGACGAGGACAGACGGCGAGAATGAGATCAGCAGTCCTATGATGAATAAGCAGCTGAAGATGGTCCAGAAGGAGTTTGAGATGTTGAAGGAGGAGCTGGTGAAGATGATGAACAAGTACGACGCACAGGCCAGCAGATACCGAGAGCACAAGCTCGCCTGCAAGAACAAAATCTTCAAAATCAAGTTACTCATGTCTTAATTCTTATTTTTTATTCATTAATCTTGGACCTTTTGGTACGCTAAGGACAAGTTGCAGGATTTACAAATTCAAATGATATTCAATTTATTACTAAGTTCACGACATAACAAGTCATTATTCAAAACAGTTAACAATGAATCCTTCTTGAAATTAACTTGTCTAATTATTATCGACAATTTTCTTCCACCTACAAATGTGAGCAGGGACACCGCGAGGCGAGAGAGAGAGGACCTGCTCGAGAGAGTGGCCGACCTGGAGAACAAGTTGATCTTATCGAAAGAGCACCTCGACGGAGAACTCATTTACAAGCAGGACCTGGAAAACAGCATCAAAAATCTTCTCGCTGAACAAAAATCTTTTATTAATCAGTTGGTGTTGCTGTCTACTTTTAACACGATTTCCAAGACAAAAACCACTACAAACAAACAGACAGCCCACGAACAACGGCAAACATAGACAAACAACAACAACAAGCAACAAACAACAATTAGGATATCAGAGAGAGATGAAACGATCCACGTACAGAAGTTGGAGCTGAACAGCTTGCAGTCGAACCTAGTACACATGGAACAAGAAGTCAAATCTCTAACGCAGAAACTCTCCATGTCCAAGGATGCCAGTAAAAAATATGTCTTCGATCATAGCACCAGTGACCAGGTGAGTGGTGGTGATTATGATGAAGTTGATGATGACGATGGTTATATAATAACCTTGACGATGACAATGTTGATGACGATGACGATGATGATGGCGATTCATCTCCAGGGTTCCACTGTCATCATAAGCACACTGCCGACATCTGGAGATCGACTTTGATCCTTTTCATCCATCCATCCTTCTTTCCATCCATCCATTCTTCCATCCATCCATCCATCCGTTTAATTCTTTTTCCCAAATCATCTCATCCAAATGACTTTCAAACATCATAATTTTTTCAATGCTGTTCAGAAGTTTTTCACATTAATATTCATACTCTAAAATTATTTATGATGTTTTAAAAGAATCTTTCATTATAATTCCGTAATTTGTGTGTTCGTGTGTGTGCGCGCGTGTGTGTGTCTTTATTGTAAATTAATTCACGACTTTTTAATTAAAATATTGAATTTTTTAAAATTTTATGTTGAATTTAGGCTGCAGTTTTTCACCTCTTATTTATTCCTTTATTTATATATTTAAATATTCAGCTTATTTTTTTATTCAATAATTTCTTTTTTTTTGTACCAAATTAGGTTGATTGTTAATTTTTTATCATTTTTTATCGTCATAAATTAAACGTACGGTCTGTCATGTTTATTTATAAACTTCGCAAATTGCGTTTCATCAAAGCAGTCAGTCCGCTGAGTTAAGCGTAGAAATTTATTTCAAATCTATCAATCTTGAAATGTGAAACTTTGTTTTAGATATAAATCTATCTAATTATCTAGTGATGTATTTGTTTATGCATTTGTTTTGTTTATCATTCATTTTTACGTCAAGCCGTTCGTTCATTCATTCGTTTGTTCGTTCATTTATTCGTTCAATCATCGGTTCGTTTGATCATTCATTCGTTTTTTTGGGTTACTATTTTATATTCGATTGTGTAATTCGTTTGAATCCATATTATTTAACTTATAAATAAATCAATATGTTCATTCATTCATTTATTCATTCATTCATTTATTTTTCATGCTTGCCTGCTTTATAAAGATAAACTTACACAAACTTAGCGGATCACTTTCCCTGGTGTAGAGTTGCGTCATATAATATTTTTTTGTTCGTGTTGCTTTTTAAATGCGGGACATCTCCAACACTTTGTCATCTTAAGTTGTTGGTTGACCTTATTATTTTGTTGACCTTGACATCCATTTGAATTGAATGAATGAATGAACGAACGAATGAACGAACGAATTAATAAATTGAAATTAACGTTGAATAAATGGATGGATGGATGAATGAATGAGTGTGTAGTTGGTTGGATGGGTGGATGAATGGATGAATAAATGGATTGATGAATGGATGGAAGGATGGATGGGTTGGATGGATGGATGGATGAATGGATGGATGGATGGAAGTACATTTGAAACCATAAAACTTGTTTCAATCATATTTTATTTAACCCATGTGTTTTCTATTATCATCTATTATATCATTATTTTATAATTTTTTGAAATATTAATGTTATGTCATCGTTCCTAACTGAACACTTAACGTCTGTTAGTACTTCGTTATTTTTCTCATTTTTATTTGTTGTATTCTTTCATTTATTCATTCATTCATTCATCCATCCATTCATTAATTCTCTCTTTCGTTCGTTCATTCATTCATTTCATTATTATTCATCTAACTAAGTGTTACAAAACTCAAGTTGTATAATTCATCCATTTGTGATATCTCTAGATACTGTATCTCTTTTAAATTTAACGGATACGAGGCACTTGTCTTTCTGTACCCACACACACACACACACACACCACACACACACACACACATATAAACACGTACTTGCATGTGCATTTCTCTGCATTCACACGCACATACAGACGTGACATACACATATTTACGCATACATACACTGATATATTGTATTTACATACACTGATACATTGTATACATACATACATACATACATAGACTTACACATCGTATACATATACATACATACGTACGTATACACACATACACCTATTCACAAATATCCAAATATAAAGGTACAGTATATCTATGTACAGTGTACACATACATATATGCAAACACCAGAAGATAACACACTTGTATGCACTTATGTTGTGTATTGTTTTACACGAACGTACGGTGTATGTTATCGCATCCTATTTGAATTATCATATCATGATATGATATCATTATCATGATATGATATCATGATACAATAAACCAAACCAGCGTAATTCAAAACATTTTTTCGCTTATTTGATCCGATCCACTTTGAATTTTGAAATGTGATAGAATTAGCACTATGCAGATGCCATGTGTTTGTTTGTTTGTTTGTTAGTCTGTTTGTTTGTTCGTTCGTTCGTTTTGTCAGTTTTTGTATTTATTATGTTTCGTCATTGTTTTTGTTGACTTTTTAGCCAATGTTTATGTACGGTTTGTTGGCGTCTGAGTTGTTTGTTGATGTTTGGCTTATTTAATTTCAAAAGACAGTTAATATTTATTTGGTTAGTACCATATTCTCAGTGATTGTGATCATTTATAATCGTCTGCCTGCATGGCTTATTTGGATATTCCTGCATTTTTTGATTTTTTAAAAGAAAAATAATTCACTTTTGAAATTTTTTTGTCGCTGTAGTTTTGTTGTGTTGTTGTTGTTTAGCTGTTCGGTTCAACGCTTCTATTATATTATATTCAGTTGTGTTTTGCAGTTTTAGTTGTAGTAGGTTGTTGATGTTGTTTTTAATGACAATTATTATTTCAACATATTTTATTTATTTATTTATTTATGTATATATAATCTTTTGTTACTTGATACAAGAAAATGTTTTGAAAAACCCTTTCAGAAAAAATTGATTAATGTGGTTTATTATCAAATAGAAGTCTAACACACACGCGTATGTTGTACGTGTTGTTTACTCACACAAACACACACATTCAACCACACTGTCATACGATTTCATACACTTATTCACACACGCACACACATACTCACACACACACACATATACAGCTGTCTATTTACACATACACACACATTTATTTAGAGAACTGAGGGATATCCTTAGTCATATATATACACACACGCGGGCTCATACACATTCATTCTCACACACTCACATACCCACACTCACATACACACACACACACACACCTGTTATCCATTTATTTTTTATCAGGAAATTTAAAACTCTGTCTCCCACCGTTTCAATTGTGCTATGTTAGTCGATTTGTCGGTAGTTATTAGTTGAAATTATTTCATCTATAAATAAATAATTATAAGCTTTTACGTGTGTGTATGTATATATATATATATATATATATATATATATATATATATACATATATAGAGAGAGAGTGTGTGTGTTTGTGTGTAATTATTAAAAAATAAGTTTGTTATTACGTAAATGTAGGTTAATTAAGATGATTGTAAGCAAGCCTATAGATGTTGTTTGTTTAGACTGAATGAATTATGAATGTTATTGAGATAACAAAAACAAGCTTGGATAATGTTTTGGTGTGAACTACAGATGGGTAGATGGATGGATGGATGGACAGATGGATGAATGGATAACTAGATGAAGGAATAAATGCATGGATGGTTGGTTGTGTCCGTGAATGTTTGTTTTGTTGATGGGTTGCAATTCAATCCACCCTTTCACCCGATCAATCATACCAATGCAAACATTGTTCGTGTAAGGTGTTATGATTGTTGATTCATTCAACTCCGTCTTGCGTGTTTGTATGTGTGTATGCGTGTGTTTGTGTGCGTGTGTGTTGTTAAACAAACTCATCAGCAACTACAGATCACAATTTTATTATTGCAAATTTTGAATAGATTCTTTAAATATATCAACGCTTTCAACTGATGGTATTAAAAATTTGATCATTTTTAACTGGATCATACCAGATTTTTAAATTAAAATGGAATTCGGTTCCACGTACGAGTGATCATTATGCAATGGGTGAATCTCGATTATGATGTTTGAAATCCACTAATTGAACCATCGCCTGACCTCCCGCCACTCAGTCACGTGAATAGTGACATCATTGTTTTGAAAACTCCGATATTGTTGGCCACCATTAGAAATACTTACTGACATGCGCAAATAAACAAAATCCTTCTTAAACTTTGGCTTAATATAAATCCGTTTATGTGTGGATGTGGTGTGTCTGTTTGTGTGTGTCTGTTTACGCCTGTACATGCGTAACCGTGTGTTTGTTTTTGCGTGTGCATGCGTCTATGTTCTTCGCAGGAAAAATCTTATACTCATACGTCAAATCACACACCTTCTTGTTGTGTACTGTACATGCATCTTCTTGTACGTAAATATGTGTACTTCCACGTGTACGCGAATGTATGTTCTTCCACGCACACGCGTACTTCTTCATCTACGAAAGTTATTTGCATGTGATCTTGTACTGATTCATTGACACGTTCGCACTTTCCAACAAAATCTTCAAACGAATTTTTTTCGAAATGTTGTGTGTGACCAGCTCGTTATTATGTTACGTACCACTTTCAAACGTTTATTGTTAAAATATAAGTAGAACAAAGTCATTTTAAGCTGAAATTAACATAAAAATTAGGTGGCTGTTAAAGCGACTTCACTATCTTCTGCAGTCATATAAAAAAATTTCGTATGCAAGTTTTTTATTTTTTCAACAATGTCGTGAATAAATACTGGAATAGAGAAATTTTTAGCCTGCCCACGTGACATGATATATCACCGGCGAACGTACAAGTTAAATGGAAATGTCGGAGATGAAGTGAGTGCGTGTTTGTGCGTGTACGTATGTCTATGTTTGTGTGTCTGTGTTTGTGCCTAGGTAGGTGTGTGTGTACGTGTGTGTTCACGTCCGCGTGAGTCCTGATGAATGCCTTAATGAGTCACGGACACCGTGATAAAGAGAGGAGAGTAATGAATTAATAAATAAGCCGATGACAAAATAGAAAAAAAAAGTTTGCTAGATAAGCGAATGAATTGATGAATGATGCTGTCATTTCGGCTGAATAAGCGAAAGAGCTTATTCATTTTTATTCGTTCATTCATTCATTTATTCGTTCTTTCGTTCATTTAATAATACTCTTTTAAAACCGGGCCAACATCAATCAAATTATGAATGTCAAAACGTAAGGGGAATGAGATTAACTGGAGAGAACATGGTGGGGTGGGAGAGAACATGATGGTGGTGGGAGAGAACATGATGGAGGAGAACATGATGAGGGAGAACATGATGTTCGTGAGAGAAGGAATGGATTGTTGTTAGACAAATATTTCTGTATTTCCATTTATAATAAGTTTGCTTTAGTTAGAGAAACTGATTTATTTATCTAAAATAGAAATTCCAAATAAGTGAATAAAGAACATATTAATAAATGAAATTAATTAAAACAATGTGAAATAATACAGAAATCATAAATTAATGAATAACCAACCTAAAAGAAAAAAAACTAAATTCCAGGTACAAACACCGAG